GATTCAAAGGCAAGAAAAGGTATAAAAGAAAGGTGAGCCACATCGGGATGTCAGGTTGTCAAGAAGTTCGTCGATGTCTCCTCAAAACAACACCAGAGAATCCACCAACTTCCGAAATTGTAACCTTCACATTTAGGCATTGAGATCACCGCTATTCGGCTGTAATCATTATGGCTCCTAAAGAGGTAGGCAGGTCCCTAGCACACTCGGGACACAGATCATGAGCTGAGAACTTCCAGATCGTCACATATGAGGAGTACCTCCCTATGCGCCTTGCTCTCCTCGAGAAAGAGAAACAAGCCACACGTGCCCGGGACGAATTGAGCGCTGCACGTCGCCAGCTACCCCTAGTAGAGGTCGCAACATCTTATAAGTTTACCGCCGTCGACGCGGCTGGGGATCACAAAGAGGTCACTTTACTTGATCTTTTCAATGGCCGCCCTCAACTCATCATCTATCACTTCATGTTCGACCCAAGCTGGGATGCAGGGTGCAGCTCTTGCAGTCTTTTTGCTGACCACATCCCACCACTTGAGCACTTGAACTCACACTCAACCTCGTTTGCCGCAGTGTCTCGTGCTCCAGTCGAAAAGATCGAGGCGTACAAGAAGCGCATGGATTGGAAATTTCCCTGGGTGTCGAGCAATGGCACAAACTTCAATTATGACTTTCACGCCACTCAAGATGAGTCTGTTGCCCCTATCCAGTACAATTTCAAGGACAAAGCAGAGCTTGAGCGGCGTGGTATGGACTATTTTGCCCGCGGTGAACAGCCGGGCCATTCAGTCTTTGTGCTTGGTGGCGAGAAGAGTGGCATTGGAGAGCCTGGAAAGGCGTACCATAGCTACTCGGCCTACGCTCGCGGTGGTGAACATCTCATTGGTACATTGAGCTGGTTGGACATGGCACCATTGGGCAGATTGGACGGTATCAATGGGGTTGCCGGTCTCGGATACAAGAGACGTGACGAGTATACCGACGACGACCTGAAGGGCATTGAGGCCAGGATTGGTGCTTAACTTACAAACTGTTGAGGGGTGAAATTGTAAAATTGGTGGGGATGGGACCATCAAATATCGAGCAGTCCAAGATACTCAGTATGTTCAAATGATATGTGTTTTCAGCGGTGTTGAGAGAGCGAGGTTCAATGAATTGCAGTTGTCCTTTGAGCACGACGCTGGTGAGGTGCTGTACAAGCCATGGCCGAAGCTCCCCAAGCTTCCCCCACGAACTTCTCTCGGCGAACGCTAGATAATCATCAATCACCCACAGCATCACGGAATACTCCGTCTCGAATGCGAGCATTTTGTGATACCTTCAGATGCTACTCTTCCGTAGCAATTGGCCACGACTCTCTCGATCGACTCCAAATCGCACTTTACTCTTCCATACCTTCGCGGCCATGGCACCCAAAACTCAAGAACCCCAAATCGTCTCCGTCACCGACCTTCCCTCGGCGCAAGCGAAATGGGTTGGCCTCAAAAAGATCGACTTTGTAGATCAGACGGGCACCCCTCGATCATGGGAGATTGCCGTTCGCAAGACGACCTCCAAGTCCGGTGTGGATGCTGTGGCCATGGGCAACATCTTCGTACACCCCTTGAAACCTCCGAGCACGATGCTCGTCATTCAGTACCGTCCTCCGATCGGTAAATATACCATCGAGTGGCCTGCGGGGTTGATCGACGAGAACGAGACCCCCGAAGAGGCTGCCGTCAGGGAAATGAAGGAAGAGACTGGATATGAGGGCAAAATACTCAACACGGGACCTGTGCTGTCCAGTGATCCTGGCATGACCAATGCGACCCTCAAGCTCGTCATGATAGAGGTGAAGCTAGGTGAACAGGAGGATATGATGCCGGACCAGAAGCTCGACGAAGGAGAATTGATTGAAAGAGTCATGGTTCCCTTGTCAGAGCTGTATGATCGATTGATCGAGTACAGCAAAAAGGACAATTTTATGGTCGCGGGCAAATTATTCTACTTTGCCGCGGGCATGCATTTCGCTAAACACGGTGGTTACATCTGAACAGAATCTACAGGAAGCTCTTGCATACTTGACATGACCAACGGTTCGCTCGAGTATTGCTTCCATCGCCGTAACCTTTCAAGAGGCAGATCAATGCGAGCTGTGTGGGACAAAGCCGCCTTACACCAAACTGTTTGAGAACGTTTCACAGTCTGCTGGCAGAGACGCCCTGTTCCCGATACAGGAATATATCGATCACCATGCACCTGTCAATAACCACCGAGTCTAAAAATGAAGAAACACGAATATGCTATGGTCCAATGCCGACTGACCACGACTTATAATGGCAGTTACATTCCAGGCTGAACCTCTTCAAGATGAACACTTGTGGTGAGTATGGCTTGGGGTGATCCAAGTGACTTCTAGCTGGTAAGGCTAGTTTTCTTCATGATCTTTTAGATTTTATTCCTATCTGCCAAATCCAACAATCTAGAGGCACTTTACCCAAGTCAGGCTCGCTCTTTCACATATTCGAACAAGGTATTTATTTATTCTCGTCTCAGCGCCGAACATGTCTAGCTTTCAGCGGGGTTATCATAGAACGGAAAGCCGACATGAATGACTCTAAATAGATATATACACGTGCGATATTAAACTGAAGCCGTCAATACAATACTCAAGAACCGTTGTTGATGATCAACTGAAGATGTCTACTCGAACTAGTAGTTAGTGATTATCCTGTGGAGTAGGAATTGGTATTGTACGATCCCGTGAATAAGCGGCTGCCAGTCAGTGAAATAGATGCTCCGTCGTTACATCAAAAAGTACCTGGGGTTTCTTTTTTGGGATACCAAAAGGGGTTTGCTTTCTCAGCCTTCTATCCCACTCGTGGAGAGGAGGACAACGGATCTTGGATAGAGTCTGGCAGAGCAGGATTTATTGGGATTCACTGCGCCTTTTTTCTCCTTTTTTGATCGACCTCTTCTGTACGAGTACAACAACTTCGTTTCCCTGCTGGTAGAAACAGGTTGGAAAAAATATATGCGATGTCGGGCATATCCGAGAATCCCATCACCGTGGATGGTATCGCCGACGTTGTCAACGCTGCCACTCCGGCCTCACAGGCTCTGGTTTTGAGTCGAAATTCCAGGTCTCCTCAAGGTCTACGAAAGTACCTTTACTCGGCCCTGGTTGGATCCGTGGCCATCTTGACGACCTTGTACCAGACCGGCACAGGACTGTCCCTGTTTGGACCTAGGTTCGAAGCCACCGACTACGCTGGCAGGACCAAACATGTCTTGTCGACGACACCACTCATCGACGGTCACAATGACCTCCCTTACATCCTCCGACAAGAGTTGAAGAATAGAATCTACGATCCTCGCTTCGACTTTCGAGGCCACCTGTTGAGTCACACCGACCTGAGCAAGATCCGTACCGGTCAACTCGGTGGACAATTCTGGTCGGTTTATATTGAATGTGCCGCGGAGGGTGTCCCTCAACTTGAAGAACCGACGGTAAGTTTTTTCTTTGCGTTTCTTTGCAAAGACAGACCAACTATCACACCCACAGAGACAAAGGCATGGACTTGGTGTGTTCCCAACACACCAAGAAAGTGCAAGGCAGTATGGCCTTTCAACTCAAATGCATACTAACGAAGTTTGTATTCATAGTGGATCGTTCGAGATACACTTGAACAGATTGATGTGATTAAGCGACTCATCTCACAACAATCGAATGATTTACAATTTTGTACCACACCAGTTTGTGTCAGAGAGGCTTTTGCCGCTGGTAAGATAGCTAGTATGATTGGTATCGAGGTGAGTAGAGCACACAAGGCATCCATCAACAGCAGCAGCAGCAATTTCCCTCCCGGAGACTTACTCACGTCTTGTGGAAAATTTCCAGGGAAGTCATCAAATAGGGAATTCCATAGCCACTCTACGACAAATGTTCGAATTGGGAGCCCGGTACATGACCATCACTCACAATTGCGACACACCTTTCGCGACCGCCGCCACCACGGTGGCCGAAGGGGGAGCTGACCGTGGCCTGACCCCTCTCGGACAGAATCTGATCGAAGAGATGAACAGACTCGGCATGCTCGTCGATCTGTCACACGTTTCTCCCGAGACGATGCGTGATGCTTTACGGGTGACTCGGGCTCCCGTCATGTTTTCACATTCGGGAGCCTTTGGTATGACGAGACACTTGAGGAACGCCCCGGACGACGTCCTCTTGAGCTTGAAATCCAACGGCGGTGTCATCATGGTTCCATTTGTCGGTCCTTTTCTCAACAAGGAGCACCCAGAGGACGCGAGCATCCACGACGTGGCAGATCAGATCTTGTACATTGCAAACTTGATCGGTTGGGATCATGTCGGGATCGGGTCTGACTTTGATGGTACAACCGACCTGGCTAGAGGATTAGAGGTGAGTTTATTTTCCTTTCCCCCCTTTCGAACCACGTTGTTCTCGGCCTTTTTCGGTACCACGCGCTCATCATTGACTCGTTATCAGGACACTTCCAAATATCCGGAATTGATTCAACTCTTGATGAAACGTGGGGCGACCGACCGACAGATCCGTCTTCTCGCGGGAGACAACATCCTCAGAGTTTGGGGTCAAGTCGAAAAGTACGCTCAAAAGGCACGACGACAGTCCAAACTTCCCGTCGAGGTCGTGTGGGAAGGAAGGAAATGGTTCCACGGGCACGACTCGGATTTACCTCTTATGTTTCGTGACAGTAAAAAGGAGAGAAGGGATAGTTTTTGAGTATGACTAGTAGGCAAGTTGGAGCTCCAGATTAGAGGTCTAGTCAGTACGGAGTAGAGGGCAATAGTATCTTGCTCGTACGGAGTACGTCTCCGTATAAGTACCCATGTTCCAGTCCATACTCTCTCTACTCCCCGACTCACCTTACAATCTCGAATTTCTCGACCCATCTCGGTTCGACCCACCCCTCCGCCCAGGAAAAAAAAAAGGAGATGGTACATATATCAAAGGTTGTCAATTTCCACGGCAATCCGACGCCTCTTTAGCCCAGTTGGTAGAGCGCGACACTAGTATTTCACCAAAAAATGACAAGTATATGTCGAGGTCACTGGTTCGAATCCAGTAGGAGGCAACCCCCAAAACGTCCTACATCAAGGCCTTTTCTTTTTTTTTTGGTTTTTGTTTTGGTTTCCGATACGCGTACAAGCAGTATTGTGGGAAAGGCGAGTACCCAGTAGTGAATACGGAGTACGGAGTACAAAGTACGATCTTGGCATTCAGTGATCTTCCTTCAAACCATCTTCACCATATATGCAGTGCATACAAAGGATACACAGGCACCAAGATCTACATCTTCATCTTTCTTTTTTCTTCTTCTAGAAAATATAATGTCTCAAACATATTATACATTAAATGGTTGTCAAAGAGAGATCGTGCTGTGCAATATATATATCCCTAGGTACGAGTACATGCGTAGTGCCTTGTTCCCCCACCCTCACCACACATAGACAAACACGCACTCTTCTCTCTCCCTTGAGAGAAAACACCGCCACATCGTTTTTGCCCTCATAGATGACAATGATCCATTCGAATGGAATCTTCCCTTATTCTTCTTGTTTTCCCGTGTACAACTCATCTTTCCATACCCCTCCTCGTAAACACAGTAGTGTATACATATTTCCGATCGGACTCATCCTCACATTCTCATTTTCCTCCAAAGAAAAGCAGCGTCGTTCATGTGTGTGTGTGTGTGTGTAGCAGCAGCAGCAGCAGCAGCAGCAGCAGCAGCAGTAGTAGTAGTAGTAGTAGTAGTAGTAGTAGTAGTAGTAGTAGTAGTAGTAGTAGTAGTAGTAGTAGTAGTAGTAGT